CCTTCAGATAGCTTCCCATAGAGTAAGCTACACAAGTAGCATGTGCCCTCGTTATGTGTGATTGATTGCTACTGCATGCTCCTTTTGTTGCTTCTGCTTAGTGATTTTTTTTCTACTTTGCAAGTGATGTTAGTAGCACAATTGAGCAAATAGAAATCTCCTCTGTAGATTCCCCCTAATAAGGTGACTGTCAGCAAATAATTTTTAACCTCTTACAACCGAGGAATTGAACTGTCTATATAGCTTAGACAATACAATCTAACATCTAAAAAATGGATTGAGACACAAACCTTTGTTAATCCTTTATTTTGTCAGGAACAGAAGTTTCATAAAGGCACAAGGGACCATTCTGAACCGTGCAGGTCAATGTACATGCCCTGCTCTGGTACTACAACATAAAAATGCTACCGTTCATTATCTTTGAGTGTAACAAAGGACTATTGCTCATAGCCACTGGTGGTTTCTGTTTATACAAAAATAGAGCTAAAACATAAAAAGTCTGCAAACCTTTCTTTCTTATTTACAGTATCAGTTCTATGAAAAACATGGACTCATAATACAAGGTTTGCTAAAACCTGATAGTGGAACATACATTAACCAATGAAAATTACAGATACTGTTGCAATTATACTAGATGAGTAATGCCAGCTATAAAATTGTGCCCTCTTTCACAGTACAAAAATACTATTCCTGCTATATTTACTAGTATGGAGAAAAACTACTGTGACACCAAACATCAGATCATTCATAGCCACAAGCATTTTAGAGATTTACTGTAGCGCCAAAGGATTTGTCACACTCAACATATTCTATGCCAGAGTTTATTAACCAGCTGTACAAGGACCCAGGAGGGAATTCTGACAGGTTCAGGGAGCACTTCTACTTGCAAAAGTTTATACGAGTTCTACTAAATCACAAATCACAGATAAAAATAGGCCAGCACGAAAAACCTTGAAAAAGTTTTTTTTAAGGAGTACTGGTAATAAATTGTCCACATGCCAGGGGTTCTTGGGATAATGAATCATGCCAAGATGTACTTTATAAAAGCCATTGTTTACCAAGTGCCATATACTCAAATTTGAAACACTTTTTCTTTGCCAGTATATGTAGTTCATGTTTTCATCTCACAATATGCCTGTTTCATGGCCCAAGTCATATCCACTTTTCAACAACCCTGCCTCTTTTCCTTACCAAAAAGTAGAAGGTATGGTCAAGAGTAATGCAGAATTCATACAGATATGTATCACAGCTGTTAAGTGTTGCTTTAACACACAAGTAGCATGTGGAATCATACCGAACCAGACTGAAGTTTTATAATGGTTTAAACTTTAGATTACAGATATTTTATTACACAGATTGTAGCGGATTCTCTTTCACTTTGCTGGAAATATAATATATTTCCAGCATATCTTTAGTATTAGAATTGTCTTTCAGAACTGTCCGTTGTCAATTGTTTCAGGTTTAGAACAGGTTATACCAGACATAAGATTTATCAGCATTTTCCTGTAAATCACTTTAGCACATGTTATGTTGACCGATATATCAAGCATGTTCCATAAATGTATTGGTAAAAAATGGGATACCAATGTTTACCACTGAAAATTGTTGAATAAAAATAATTAGGATCGGAAAAAAATTCTCAATTTTTCAGAGAAAATATGCACCTAACTAAATACAGCAAGAACATTTTCTTGAACTTTGCAGATTTAGAAAAGGAAACAACAATAAAAATTATGAAGAATAGGGAGCTGCAATGATCTTTTGGCTTAATATTTATATGAGCTACTGAAATTATTATTATTATACAGTATTTATATAGCACCAAAGGGTATGCTCAGCGCTGTACAGTAGCAAGGGGGACAGAACATGAGACAAGACTGTAACAAAACAATACAATACACAAGGGGTTCGAGGGCCCTGCTCTTTTGAGCTTACAATCTAGGAGGGGAGGGGAAGGTGGTACAGGAGGAGATGGCTGTGGGGGATGGAGTGGTGGCAGGAGTGGAGGAGGTTAGTTGTTAGGTGAGGTCGGGTGTTAGGTGAGGTTGGGGTAGGCTTCCCTGAAGAGGAGGGTTTTCAGGGTGCGCCTGAAAGTGAGGAGGGTAGGTGACAGTCTGATGGATTGGGGTAGGCAGTTCCAGAGGATGGGGGAAGTCCTGGAGAAGTTCTGCAATCGGGCGTGGGGAGGAGGAGACCAGGGAGCTAGAGAGTAGGAGGTCCTGTGAGGAGCGGAGGGCACGGGTAGGGTAGTATTTGGGTATCAGGTCAGTTATGTCGTTTGGGGCGGCATTGTGAATGGCTTTGTAGGTCAGAGTTAGCAGTTTGAATTTGATGCGTTGGGCAATCGGGAGCCAATGAAGGGATTGGCAGAGGGGGGAGGCAGATGTGGAGCAGTTGGTGAGGTGGATGAGTCTAGCCGCTGAGTTTAGGATCAACTGGAGGGGGGATAGCGTTCATTTGGGTAGGCCAGTGAGAAGGGAATTGCAATAGTCCAGGCGTGAGATGATGAGGGAGTGTACGAGTTGTTTGGTGGTGTCTGGGGTGAGGAATGTCTTGGAGATGTTGCGGAGGTGGAGCCTGCAAGATCTAGATAGCAGTTGGATGTGGGGTAGAAAGGAGAGGTGGGAGTCCAGGGTGACACCCAGGACTTTGGCATGTGGGGTGGGAGAGATGGTGGCGTTGTTAGTAGTGATGGAGAAGAAAATGATACAAAAGAAAAATTCCACAATTCTTCAGGCTGAGAATAAAGGAAAAAGCAGTCATAAAGAAGACCTAAGAGACAAGTTTTAATACCTTTAAATATTAACATTTCTCAATATATAACGTGATTCATCTCCAGTTGAGAAACATTAATGTAATGGAGAGTTAGGACAGCTTAAAAAGGACAATATGCAGTTTAAAAATCATATTGCCTGTATGCCTTAGAAAGGTGAAAATAATTCCAAGCTTATGGTATTTTGTTTGGCTTATAAACTGTTATCCAGGTATTTTTAATCCTAAAGATTTTTGGCCTCCTCTACAGATACATGGCAATGGTGGCATTTATTGAAAATACTGAAGTGAACTTGTCGTGAAAGATAAATCACTGTTACCGTTTTCAGTTTGTTCCGTAGGCTGCAAGTTCCTAAGCTGTCCTTTCCCTTTTCTGGCTTTACTGCTTATTTAGCCAATTCCCAAATGTATGTATGCAGACAGTAAGGTCATAACTACTGACCTGTAGACTTCTTGCAGTACTGCCTTAACTGTAAAGTCAGGGAAAATAATGATATAGTCTTATTTTTTTTGTTTATATTTTCTTGAGGTATTTTTTCTATTCAATCATGTCAATATACACAAACCACAAATTTAACGCTGGCAAAAGTTTTAATCTTTCGCTGCTCTATCCACATCTAGAAACACAGTTTTGACTTTAGGTCTATTTCAAAGTCTTTAATTTTTCTTTCAGAGGAGTAAAGCTAACCCTGTCTGTCCCTTTGGCTTAAAAAACAAGATGTTCTTTCATCTTCGGATGTGGATAATTGCGTGATACAACAGCAGCATACAGGCAATGGCTACCTATTGCTTTTGGTAGGCAAGCTGCTCCTTGAAACACAGAAACCCAACAACACTTCTTGTGCTGGACCAGCACAGACTGAAAAATGTATTAAAAGTATAACTAAAAGGCAAACCTTTTTTTTGGATGGAGTGCAAGGGGATTAGAACACCTGTCAGTTTTTTATCACTGTCAGTGACCCCATTAAGGAGATTCATATGCTCCATTTGTCAGGTTTACCATTATTGCTGAAAGTGAAAGTAAATAAAAATCCCAAAATTTTGAGTTGTCCCCAGAAAAGTAATAGAGGGGAAATGTTCCAATGGGAACACTAGTTCTGGCCCTGGGGGTCCCCAAGGAAATCCCTTATTTTGCAGGGATTTCCTCTCACTTCCCGTTTGGTTATGGGACAGGAAGTGAAGGGCAATCTCTGCATTGAGACACATATGGAGAAAAAAAATGTCTGACAGGAGTTAACCCTTCCTTGCTCTATCAAAAATTAAAAACAAAATGCCTATAGTTCTACTTTAATTCAGCAATGATTGTTTTTATGTTATATTTTATTATATTATTCTAATTATTATATTTATATCTGTGTATTGTATCAAAGTCTAAATTTACCATGAAGATTTTCTTTTTCAATAATTTTTTTTTATTGAACAAGTCATATAAAAGGAAAGTCTGCAATGGTATTGCATTAATCTGGTTTTCATAGAAATAGTTAGTCACAAACTTTAGTGAAGTACAAGAAAACAAGGCAAGCTGGTACAAAAAATATACACAAAAGTTTACCTAACACGTGGCAACATAGGCAAGCACCCCCAAAAGGAGCACCTCCTCTATAAGTGGGGAAAAACATATTACATATTCCCACAGGGCATACAAACACGTAGAATGAATATCTTGCCAAGAGCTGAAAGCATATAGGAACTAATGTTTCACCCAGTGGGTTCCTTGATAGTCATAAGACCCAAGGTAATGGGCCCACTAGACAGAAATGTCCATTGTAGGCGAATATTTAGATGTTTCAGAATGGAGTTTTCCTACGACTAGCATGTGCATTTCGGTATTTCACTAAAAGTGTTAGCTGTGTTACATAATGACAGGATTAGAGTGTGGAAAGCCAAAGACTCTACTGTACACACAGAGGAGTACAGGCAATAATAGAATCCGAATAAAAGGAATCACTGACAGGAAGAAAAACCACAGCATTGGAATTCTAAAAATAACTAGTTTTATTACAGGGCTGCTTTCGAGAACCCTTTGACATAAGTAGAAGGTTTAACAGACTCCCTGGGACCGTTTCCAAAGTTATGAAATAAAACATTTTAGTCTTGTACAAAAAAAAAAAGAAAAATATCCAGACAATGTTTAACTTGTTAAATGTTATACCTGTATACATAATCACAGTCTTACTGTTAAATGTGAGGTTCTTACAGAAGCGGTGGCAGCTGATGTATGTTATTACCTGTGGGATAGCTCCATAGTTCCAAATATAACCCTTGTGTGGGAAAACATTGGCCACATAACGCAACTTGCCTTTCTTCACATCTTGTTTTATAGGATTCAAAGGATCCTTTGTGGCAATCTGCAAATATAATAAGAGACAGCTGAATGTATTTCTATGAGCAGCACACATTCACAAAGGAGCCTCAATAGTAATCTCAAAAGATTAAAATGTTAACATTATTACAGAAAAAAAAAAAGACAGCAAGTGCAAACATGGTAAAACGGGTCATACAGAAAGAGAATTGGAATCATTTTCTCTGGTCTGGTATCCTCAGGCTCTTTGAGAATACACTTTTCCCTGTACATCAACATCCACTCTTTGCAGACAAGCTTTGTATAGCAAGTAATTAGGCAGAGAACATAATGAATGTAGAAGATATTTTTGAAATTTCACTATTGGCTGAGGAAGTAATTTTTATCTCGTCTCCCTCATCAAAAAGGAGTGGGACACGATAATAGAATTTTGTGATGGCCACTGTATGGAATTTCTATCAGCACATCCTTACCAACCTATCACTCCCCTACTGCTTTCTTTGGATTCTGGGAGTAAAGAAACATTTCCCAGTATGGGAGACCATGCGACTTGCTCCCCTTTCTCCCACGTGACAGCACTGATGACTGATCACTATGGCATTCAGCACTGTCATATGGTGTAGGAAGCAAGTCCTCAGCTCTGTATAAGCTCTACATCACGACTTAGAGCTTACACAGGGCATCTTCTTGGGCACAAGAAGGGACAAGGGTGAAAAGGAAGCCGGAACATATATGCAAATGGTGGGACAGTCATTAAAGCAGTATTAAACCCAAAACAAAAAATGTAATATATTGCAGCTTAGAAATCATTAGATGTGGTGGCTGCATGAGTTTTCTTTGCCTTTCTCCTCACTCTTTTCACCTGGTGATCTGGCCAGTAACACACCTCCTATCAGTGAGACACAACTCTGGGGGAAGGAGCACAGGGGGCACAGCAGACAGCAACATTCAGTCTGGGGGGGGGGGGTTAGTGTTAAATGTACCAGCGGAGTTAAATACGATAACAAATTGATGCCAAACTCCAGCTCATATTTAATCAGTTACAGCAGTTTGTTTCCTTTTGGGATAAAGGTTTTACATGAATAAATAAAAGCTGATCATTTTACTGATCCCTGCCAGTGTTAAGTGGTCTGCCACATCCATGTAAACAGATTCATTCTTCTGGAGAGTTTGTGCTTCTAAAAAACAACAGACTTGTTGCCTGGATCACCAGGTAAAAATAGAAGACTAAAAAGGGAACCTAATGCAGCCATCACACCTAAGAATTTGTAAACTGCAAAATAATAAATGTTTGCTTTTGGGTTTAATACTGGTTTTACATTAAACCTGTTGCTTTGCCCTGTATGGATCAAAGAAAATGTTTGCTCAGTATCAGTTCTGGTGGATTTGACCTTTAGGAAAAGTAAAAAAAGCAAAAAAAAAAAAAAAAAAAAGCAGAGAAACACTTTAAGCTTATAAACCAGCTAGAGAAATAGAGATGAAAGATTGTAATTATGAAGACAAAGGAGGGAGCTGTAGAGGAAATATTCTAGACCACTCATCTTACCTGTCACAACGCTCTTTAAGCATTACCTATAATGCTACCACCTCCCCCTCACTCCCCCTCTCTGTTGGGGTCCCTCAAGGCTCTGTCCTTGGGCCCCTTCTCTTCTCCATCTACACCTCCTCCCTTGGCCAACTCATACACTCTCACGACTTAAACTACCACCTCTATGCCGACGACACACAAATCTATCTCTCAACCCCCCCCCCACCTCACCCCCTCGGTCTCCGCCCGATCATCACACACCTACTGAGCGACATATCAGATTGGATGTCGCTCCACTTCCTTAAACTGAACCTCTCCAAAACCGAGTTTCTTGTCTTCCCCCCAGCCCGTACCCCACCCCCCATTGACTTCTCCATCACATCCAACAACGCCAATATCAAACCCGCCCTGCAGGCCAGAGTACTTGACGTCATTCTGGACTCCAACCTATCCTTCCAGCCCCAAGTCCAATCTTTAACAAACTCGTGCAGACTCCACCTCCGTAACATCGCCAAAATCCGCACGTTCCTAACCCCAGAAACCACTAAACAGCTCATCCACTCCCTCATCATATCACGACTCGACTACTACAACTCCCTCCTCACTGGCCTGCCTCGCCGCCCTGGCTATCCCAGTCGATCCTGAATATGGCTGCCAGACTCATTCACCTTTCCAACCGCTCCATTTCTGCCACTCCCCTCTGCCAATCCCTCCACTGGCTTCCGATTGCGCAGCGGATCAAATTCAAAATCCTAACACTGACATACAAAGCTGTCCACCATACTGCCCCGAACTGCATCACTAACCTAATATCCAAGTACCGCCCAGCATGCACACTCCGCTCCTCACAAGACCTCCTTCTCTCTAGTTCCCTGGTCTCCTCCTCCCTTGCCCGCCTCCAGGACTTCTCCAGGGTGTCACCCATCCTCTGGAACTCCTTGCCCCAACCCATCAGATTATCACCTACTCTCTTCTCCTTTAGGCGCACCCTGAAAACCCATCTCTTCAGGGAAGCCTACACCACCCCCTGCTAACTTGCCGACCTTCTCCACTCTTCCTACCACTCCATCCCCCACAGCTATCTCCTCCTGTGCCCCCATCCCCTCCCTCCTAGATTGTAAGCTCGAAAGAGCAGGGCCCTCGATCCCCTCATGTTTTGCATTGTATTGGTATTGTTCTGTCACATGTTCTGTCCCCCTTTGTAATGTACAGCGCTGAGCGAACCATTGGTGCTTTATAAATACTGTATAATAATAATATAATTTCTTTAAAATAACAAACATGTCATCCTTACCTGCTCTGTGCAATGGTTTTGCACAAAGCAGCCTCAATCCTCCTCTTCTTGGGTCCCCTGCTGGCACTTTTGGTCCCCCCAAGCTGATTGCTCTGAGGGCACTCTTGCGTGCTCGCTCTCAAGCTGCCTCTGTGTGTCTATTGGACACACAGAGCGTGGCTCAGTCCCACCTCTGGTCTCGCCTCACTGGCTGTGACTGACAGCAGTGGGAGCCAATGGCTCCGGCTGCTGTGTCAATGAGGAGAGATAAACCCGGGAAAGCATCGGCTCTCCTGCATATTGCTGGATTGGGCTCAGGTAAGTATAAAGGGTTGCTGAAGGGGGAGCTGCACACTGAAGGATTTTTACCTTCAAGCATAGAAAGAAAAACCTTCAGCCTTTACAATCACTTTGAATATAAAAAGGTAGAATATAATCTAAAATCACTTTGATGAAATAAGTGTAAGTCTGTTATTGGCTGTGATGCACTGCACTCTGGAACATATTTAGCATTTAAAAAGAATGTTTCCAGTGGAGGTTGAAACAAAAACGAAAAAAAAGAAACCTCTAGTAAATGCTAACAACTGGTAATCAACCAAACAAGAGAAAATGTGATGGAATGGAGAAGATTTAAATTAAAATGTAGAACAATAGAGCATTTAAAGTTCATTTATTTTAATACTGGAAATGCTATTAGAACAAATTAAAAACTTACAGTACGCATTTCTGATTAAGTCCATTCCATTGTGTTTAGATAAGCAAAATACTTTAAATTCATTATCCAGACAGACATTCAGGGAAATTCTAATTGCCAGGCACATCATATGAAACACTATTAGTTTTTCTAATTCTTATGTCATTTATCCTAATGCTGGTAAGCATCAGGCAGTACAGTATATTCCTTTAAAAAAGATGATACAAGCTGAAGAATTGAAGCAGAATTGGTCTCTTTTGCTACTGTTAGCTTTGCGATCTTAGACAGTTTGGAGGATGATGTTTATATGTAGGTATATTGGAAATACAGTTGCCACCCATGAAGGCGTGTACTTCAACCACTTTGTACATACATGACCACGGCACCCTTGTACACGTCAAGAGCGGTCATTTCCTGGGTAAACTATAAAGCCATGCAGAGGTGACATTTTTTTTTCCCAGTGTACTGGGCATTTTTTACCTAATCTGTGGCTACTTTGCCAGTTCATGGGAAGCAAATGCCCCAACCCATTAATTATCTTCACAGATGTATATACATTTCATATATATTTTAAATTCTGATATATATATCAAAAATCTTATGGAAAACCTAGCTGAATGGCTGCATCTGCTTTTAGATGCAGTTTCCGTTGTTCTCTGACCATACATATAAGGGTCTATGATTATGGGCTTGTGTCGCATTTCAGATGTGTTATGCAGAATTTATTGACAGATGCAGGAGAACCTTTTCTAACTCATATGGCATTGCAAAATCCAAAGACCGTTGATGAATGCCCTAATGCTGGGTACACACAGGAAGTTTTAATTAGTTCAACCCAGCGGTCTGAACAAAGAAAACAAACTTACAGATCGCCACACCAACACTTCTGATGTTGGTGCGGCGATCTCCCTGCTGAGCTATTGTGTTCTAACAAGGGGATCTGCCCCCCCTACCAGGACACACTGATCAGATGATGGTTTTCCAGCATTCTTGTTCAACAGAAGCCAGTTGTGAGAACTGCTTCTGTCAGACAGGGAGCTGTACACACAGGCCGAAAGTCAGTAGATTCCTGCTGAACTGACCGTTTTCTGACAATTTTTGTCCTGTGTGTACCCAGCTTAAGACTGCTATGGATACCAGGTATCGCAATCTTACAGATTTAGCCTTCCATGTACAGCTACATATGTGATGGATTTGGTCTCCCACATCCTGTCATACACAGGCAGAGGATTGGAGTTACCAACTGGAAATATGCAGCTCACTTTGCAAGGGAACTTTCCCATAGAATAGTGAATGAGGTCAAACTGTGCTGACTTCCATCATCCAATCATGGGCAAGGAAAACCTACTTTTTTTTTTCTATTTGTCTCGGATGAGATTGGGTATTCTTTGCACAGTGAAGTTTTTATCACCAATCGCTAAGCTAAGGGAAAATTCCCTTGCAAAGTAACCAGCCTATTTATCTTTAGTAAATCAACCCCAGTGTTATCTACAAGTGTATGTGACCAACAAATGTATGGGCAACATATAAACAGTTTTTCCCCCCCCCCCCATTTTCCGAACATCAATGAAACTGACCTCCAGTTTTGCATTTGTCCATCGTGGCACCTCTACCACCATGTTGAATATGCACTGCAAAATAAAAAGAATTTGTTATAAAAGACAGTAGCTGGAGAAAAAACACCACAATAAAATATGCTTCAATTGGAAAAAAAATTACATAAACATAATATTATACAGTGCTTTACAAAGAGCCAAAATGAGTATTTGTGTATATTACAACAGAAGATTGACAAACTGCCAAATGTAGGCAATAGCTGACAGTGTTAATGATTTACTCTGCAGTAAATTTCAGGTATTTGAATTCTGGTACACTATAAACTCTGCTTGAATGTGTAATCAATCCCCATGTTACTGTGCCTCTTATTCTCCATGCTCCCATTACCCATTGATTTATATGAAATCTTACTTTGTCATAATAATGCCTTTTACAGCAATACAGTTATGTATACTGTTGATCTATTCAGACAGCTGTCTATTTCACAAGCTAAACATTTGTCAGAAGACTTATGTAGAAAAACAGAGAGAGCACGAGCACGCAAGACCATTGGGGTATAAAGCCAATTTTAGAGACGGAATATTGCCGAAACATGCAATTTTCTGATTTTGCTGAAAAACGTTTTGTGTTTTTTTCAGATTACTTTTCTTTTTTATTCAGTCTTTATCTGTCACATTCGGTCTTTTACCACTGGAGTTGCAAACAAACAAAAAGATTAAAAAATGTCTAGCTTAAGGCAATGCAATACAATGGCAACACATCAAGACCTGGGTCTGACGCAGCAATATTTTCATCAACACTAAGCAATACTTAACAAAAGGGGTCATTTATTTTTGGAATGGATGGTAGCAAGTAATAACGGAAACCTGTCACAAACCTGAGCAATTTCATTCAAGCATATGATTAAAAATGAATGCACAGGGAGGTTGCCATCTGTGAAAACTATATGTCAAAATGATCGGTAAATCCACAGATATAAGAAGCTAAAACGGTGCCTATATTTCCTTAGGAGTTGCTCATTTTTGTAAAAGCAATTTTAATCTCTTCCCTCTAAAAGGTTTAACCACTTTCCAGCAGTCACCCAATTAGGCTGTAGCTACAAAAGGTGATTTTTAGTAGGCCGACCCTGCTAAAAATAATTATCGAAAGCTCATTAAGAGTATCAATTTATAACTACAGATGGAACAATTGGCTCCATATATAGCCAGCTGAGTTTCAATCTATGTATGGGCAGGCTGGTTGTACTGGAGTCAATCGATTAACCAGCTTGTTGGGGAGTTTTCCTTTAGTCACTGCCATGGCTCTAGCTGCCAGCAGTAATCATTATATTCTGATGGCTGAGAAACCTCCCACTGTCAGAATACAAAGGCTCCCTGGGAGGGATTCCCCCATCAACACTGAATGTGTTGATGGGGTAATTGAGGAAATTGTTTATTGTGTAGCCTGCATAAACTTCACAAATGGCACCAAAGCCTCCTGAACCTGCAAATCGAGCATCATGTATGACTATTCTCAACAGCAAACAACTGCATGCTACTTGTGTAGTTTACTTCAACAGGGAGCTATTTTTCCATCTGTTGAGCAATTAATTGCTACTCCTAGCAAAACGATTTGATTTGGAAAGAGTGAAAGGATATTAGAACCTCTGTCAGGCTCTTATTGCCTGTGTCTCACTTTCTCTACGACCTGGTTCACACCGATGCAGGAAATGTTGCGAAACCTGCGCGTTTCCCGCACCGCACTGCAATCACATGGCATTCATGCAATCTTGTATGGGTGTCGATGTTAAGTTAATGACACCCTGTAACAGATCGCAAAACACAGATCGATTGCCAGAAATTGCATCAGTGAGAACACTCATTCAGGTTCAGATTCAGGTAAAAAAAAAAAGGGGGGACTGCACCTTTTTGGTGCGGATGTGATGTGATTTGAGCCATACAGAATGTATGGCTCAAATCACACAGCACAGACATTGCATGTAATTCGCACAGGTTTGAGGTTTCTCATTTCCTGTGAGAATCACATGCGGCGTCCCGCACCACATTAGCGTGAACCCGGTCTAAATGTCCTGATGACCAATTTCACCAGAAAAATAAAAAAGAGTAAATCCAAAACATCATGGTGGAATGTGCTGGCTTTGTACAGCTTTACTTTTCTTTGCTACAGTTTTAGTAAAGGTCTCGTTTTGACCAAAAACAATAAATTCACATTTTTTCTGCAGGTAAAATAATGTGCATTTATTATTTTTGGTTGCAGGAGCCAGGAAAGCATTGCACCAGTGATCAGCAGATCGCTGGTGCAATGCAGGTCTCCTGCAGACCTGTCAGTATATCTGCTTGCCCATACAGGATGTACAGGTAAGAAGATATACTGACAGGAAGAATCAATGAACTACCACAGCCCCATGATAGTTTGAGAACTGCAAGTTGACACCTACTAAGGCTGTCGGGATTTGTAGTTCATTCATTCATAGAATACTGTGAATGAATGACGTGTACATGTGAGCGGAGCCACCCACTGCCACGCGGTTTTTAAAAAGTGATAGCTGGTACGAGGAACTTCTCCCCATACTGCTGTCACAGGGAGGGGAAAGGCAGCAGGTAGCGGCTGCAGCATTAAAGACATGTTACATGATCCACCCTAAAAACTGGTGGAACATGTAACATGTTCCCAAAAGGTGAACTTATCCTTTAACACTCTGCATGGTTTTTAGGGAAAACTGGATTTTTTTCTACATACTTACCTGTAAAATCCATTTCTTGGGAGTACTGTACATCACAGGACACACAGCAGGCTATTAATGACTATGTTATAGGCCACCTCTAGGTGAATGGACACTAGCCAATCAATCGGAGAGGAGGTCAACTCCTATATAACCCCTCCTATAACAGGAAGTACTTCAGTTTTTGTAGCAAGCAATGAAAATTCCAGAAAGAGGGGAGGGACCTCTAAGTCCCATGATGTACTGCAAGAAATGGATTTTACAAGTAAGTATGTAGAAAAAAAAATTAATTTTCTTGATCGTACATCACAGGACACAGAGCAGGCTATTCATGACTACGTGGGATGTCCCAAAGCAATAAGAAATTTGATGGGAGGATGACACCATGATAGCCACTGCCCATAATCCCTCAGCACCTACGCAGCAATCCATAAAATACTGCGGCCAAAGGCAGAATCCTCAGAATCCACTACTGACTAAACCAATTCCATATCAAAGGATCATTTTAGGAACTGATCTAGCCCCATGAGGTCCAAAAATGGGTCTTACATCCTCATTTGGTTTTTGGACTGTAAACTGGTTTGAATAAAACCTCTGAAACCTTTCGTCCACTAGAACCTCCATGATTACTCCTTGAGCCAAAAGGTAATCAAGTGCCTGAAATAAAGCTCTTCTTTTCTCTGAATTCGTTGGTACATTTGATCATTGGAACCGAGGAGAGGGAAGTACGTGAAATTCTAGTCTGTACCCCAGAGAAATCGTGAAAATGACCCATTTATCTTGGAGTAGAGCCCTCCAGGCGGCTACAAAATTCAAAAGCCTTCCCCCCCACCAGAACAAGTGGGGGCGCCCCTTCATAAGGAGGCAGACTTTGGATCTGTCTCAGGTGACTTTTGCACCCAGGGCTTCCTTGGGTTTTGATTCTGAGATCTACCTCTCGAAGCTGGGACATGTGTGTGGCAAAAGGACTCCTTGGTAGATGAGGGCCCAGCAACTGAAGCTCCTGACACCTTAAAAGAGGGGCATTTGGATTTCCTCTTGGAGGGTAGAGGAGCACTCTTACCCTTGTAAAGCATCAAAACGCAAAACACAAAGCACGTGGCACATCCTCCAAATCCTCAGCCGAGCATTCCCCCTGCACTGATGGTCCTCCAATCTGATGCTTGACACGGTCAGAAAGACTCCGGCAAATGCCAATAGCTGCCGCAGCTGGATGTGCAGCAGAACCTGCCATGGAGGATACCTTAAGGAGAAACTACAGCTTTTTTTCCGCTGGGTCCTTGAAAATCTGTACATTATCCACAAGACATGTTAAAGATTTATTCAGGGATGAAACAGCTGCTTCCACTACAGGCAACCCCCATTTCTTAACAAATGTTTGTTCCATGGGCTACAAAATAGAAAACCTTTTTGGTGGAACAAAAATCCTATCTGGGTGATCCCAGTCAGCATACATAATTTGCTTCAGAAGAGGATGCACCGGAAAGGCCAGAGTACTCTGTGAAGACTTCATAGAGCCCAGGGAAGAATAAGTAACCTCAGAGGTTTTTATTGGAGGTAGCCTGAATCCAGACTGTACCATATCAGTGAGGTCTTGGACTAAAAATCTCTGAGACCGGGAGGCAGAGACCTCCTGCTTCTCCTCAGGCTATGACTCCTCAGACAGAAATTCTACTGCTTGACCTTCCTCCTGTTCTTCCTCATCCTCAGGCTGCACCTATTCCTGCTCCAGGATTGGTGGTTCTAGCGACAAGGATCTATTACGCTTCTTAGCCCCCTGAGTAAGTGATGCAATCATTCCAGCGATCTTATCTTTTAAACCCGCTAAGGCTGAAGCAAGATCATCCTTGGTTACATATGCTGAGGCAGAAGCCCCAGTAGTAGCCACAATGCCAGAAAGACGCAGCGGTTCAAACTGCCCAGTCGCTTCTGGCCTGTCAGGAGAGGATATTTCAGCGGACCTTTGGCTAGGTTCCTCAGGAACTGGCAGTGGTACATTAGTGCCCTTTTCTGCTGCACCTCCCCCACTCTGCTTTCTGGAAGACATTACTTCAGATAGGGCAAACCTGTGCACCTCCACTAGTAACACAGATCTCAATGATACAGCTATACAAGTAGTGTGCTGAAAATACACTCAATGCAAATGCTGCCTTATGAGCCACTTAGGGTGGCTCCTGACTGGTCCATGCTTCCCCCTCAGGGGAGTACTTACGTGCCCCTACTGAATAGCCTACTCTGTGTCCAGGCCACAGGAGATTCCCAGCAGCAGCCGCCCACGTGTGTCCTGGCCTCCAGGTAAACTAATATGGCCAACTTCTATTTCCAGCCTCTACTGCGCATGCCAACTGTACTCCCTCTAGTGGCTGAAAACAAAAAGAGCAAGCACATCTTGGGAACAATTGCAAGCACTCCCCCTGGTGGAAACTTACAGTCACAACACCTCTCTTTTTCCGTTCAATTTAGAGCCTTGTTCTCCTTACAGAGAGAAAAAAAAGGAGATATCTTACCAGCCCCGCCTCAGGTCCCTGACTTCCGTCAGGGACCGACTTTCACCCATCACGGCAGGCATGGTCATACAGACCTTCAAGGACTCAGTGCCCATGCTGAGGAGCTACTGCCTTGGACCTGTAAAAGCACCCCACTGGAAGTGCCTTGGTCAGATTTAAAACTGCCCAGGATTCCATCTGCATGGGGTCCAGCGCCGCAAGGCTGCATTACAGGGAAAACCTTGAGGGTTCTTCTCTTTATCTAGCGAGGCTCGAGTACCATCCATTTTAGCTCAGAGACTTCCGAATGGATCGGATTAAAGTCCCTGATTCTCTAATGGAACCATTTTGGACTTACAAGTATGCTCCAAGAACACAGCAACACTTTCAGTGACCATCCGCCTTACAGATACTGGCAAAAAAAAACTGAATATACTTCCTGTATAGGAGGAGTTATATAGGGAAGGACCCTAGAAAGCATGTTTCATAGGCATACTGGTTCCCCAGAAGGCTTCATACTAAGTGATAACTTTTTTTAATAAGACTATGGCAGATTTGTTATAAGGTTATAAGATCTTTTGTGCCTAGCCAGTTAGGGTAGATGTGTGAAAACATAGCTGAATTGTATTCAGGCTGCCACTTCAGTTGTCGTCCTTACCACAGTTTCTCTATTATGCAGCAGGTATGTCAAAACTTTCTAAGTACTTATAGCTTAATGCCAGTCACATTTTAGTTTAATTTTGGATAAAGTGGGCAATTTACAGCATCACAGCAATTTACTGTGATTGCTTTAATACATTTTTATGCTTTTTTTTTTTTACAGTGGTTGTAAACCTTAGACATGAAATATGAACAAAGCATATCCCTCTATAGTGTGTACTTGTCTCAATCCAGAGCACTAAGTGTCATTTCTGTCTGCTGCTTCAATCCCCTGCTATCAGAAAGAGCCACCTCTGAGTTTTCCTGACACCAAAAGAAAAAAGGTGACAGGAGAGGGACCTCCAGCACACAACCTGTGAATAACAGAGCTGTTCCTGTGAGCTGTTTGGAGGGGGTGTGTCCCTTCCCTGTAAATCAGTTCTCAGAGATCTACGCACTGAGCTCTGCAGTATGTAATTACAACTCTCCGCACCCTGTTTTCTGAAAGATCAGACTAACTTTATAAATTCTGGACTTTGAACGTATGTAAAGGAGAGAAGACTTCAGAAAAACAGGTAAAACTTATGTAGGAGGATTTGTTTCATCTCTGTATACCACCTGAGGGCAGTCATTTTACTGAGTATATGTGAGGGTTTACAACCACTTTAACCACCTCCTGCCCGCCATATAGTCCAATGACGGGCACAAGGTGGTTCTCTCGTTCTGATAGGACGTCATATGACGTCCTCTCTTTCTCACCGCGCATGCGCGGCTCAGGGAGCGCGCAGCATGGCGATCGGCGGAAAGAGCCGGAGATGTCGGCTCGGTCATGTGATCAGCTGTCTCCAATCACAGCTGATCACATGCAAACTCGGAAATGCTGGTTATCGGCATTTCTCTCCTCTCGAGCTGTCACGCTGACAGCTCGAGAGGAGAGGAGAGCCGGTAATCGGCTTTCCGGGGAGGGGACATGTACACTGATCATCAGGGCACTGATGATCATTGTGCCCTGATGATCAGTGTAGCCCCAGCAGTGCCACCTGTCAAAGTCCATCAGTGCCAGCTGTCAGTGCCACATGCCAGTGCCTATCAGTGCCACATCAATGCCACATATCAGTGAATACCAGTGCACATAAATGCCATATATCAGTGCCCATCTGAGCTGCCTTTCTGTGTCATTCATCAGTGCCAGTCAGTGCCACCTATCAATGCCAATCAGTGCCACTTAGTGTGCATCAGTTCCGCCTATCAGTGCCAGTCAGTGCCGCCTATCAGTGCCATGTATCAGTGCTGCCTTTCAGTGCCCACCAGTGATGCCTGTCAATGCCCATCAGTGCCACCTACCAGTGCCTCCTTATCAGTGCCCATCAGTGCCACCTATCAGTGTCCATCAGTGCAGCCTCATTAGCACACCTCAGTGAAGGAGAAAAATCACTTATTTACAAAATTAATATAACAAAAACTAAGAAAACTTTTTTCCCCCAAAATTTTCATTGGTTTTTGGTTTAAGAAAAAATAAAAAACCCAGAGGTGATTAAATACCACCAAAAGAAAGCTCTGTCACAAAATTATAAAAATTTCATATGGGTACAGTGTTGCATGACCGCGCAATTGTCATTCAAAGTGCGACAGTGCTGAAAGCTGGAAATTGGCCTGGGCAGGAAGGGGGTATAAGTGCCCTGCAGGCTAGTGGTTAAAGATCCATGGTGGGATGGTGATACATGCTTTGAGTTGTGTTGACACCCATTCCCAGTTGGTAGTTGCTAAAGCACCCACTGACACAAGTTACTGCTGTGATGTGATCACTTTGATACATTTTTAGACGCCATTTTGAAGATCCATGGTGTTCTGGGGATAAAGGCTTGGACTTGGATAAAGTGGGAACACATTACCATTTCTATTGGGTTTTTATGTCTGGTCTTTAACCCTTTTCCTCATTTCCTCATAACTCCAGCATGAGAGTGCATGTATGTATGTACGTACATATATATCTCAATCACACACACACATATACATATATATACACACACACTATATTTATTTTTGGCTGAAATGTGATGGCACAGACAGCAAGTTTAATCCTTCCACATTCTACTAGAGATTCCCCATCCCTTTTTGTCCAATAAAAGTCTGGTGAAGGCTGTAACCTTACCCTGCTGTATCCAAAACATCAAAAGTTTTGTCTGGAATGGGGCTTTAGGCAGGGCAGGACAGATCTAGAGCAATGGCCAATTCCATATTGCTGTCCTGAGAGATTCTTTTCATGCCAAGAGCACATCACACACTTGATCGCTGTTCCTCCTAGGTGTATTGGTGATTCAATGATTTTCAGCCTTGTCCAACTACTACATTATACCAGTGACAGGAAAGGGAAACAAATGTGTAAAAAGGTCACCCTGGTATCCCTATCAAAAGTGCAGGTCATAATTCACCCTAAAATGTAAGATTACTAGTATGTAAAAAAACAAAACACACACGTAAAAAAACAAAACACGCGCACACACGTAACAAAAAAAAAAAAAAAAACACACGTAAAAAAGCAAACAAAAAACACACACACGTAACAAAAACACACACACTCACACACAACATTGGAACTTACTTGGTCATGCTTTTCTAATAGTGAAGAGGCGTAGGACATGTTTTGTTCTTTTTCTCTACATCTTTCAAATTAAATAGCCTGAACACAGTGGTCAAAGCAATCTCATTCTATCAAAACAAACAATTTGCAGAAGCCGCCACACAGAGCGCACATTCTTTTTAGAACAGCATTTCTCAGAATGTCACACTCGCTGAACAAGAAAGAAGTAAAAAAAAAAAAAACCCCAGAACAATCCAGTTTCTTCACAGGGAATGTACAGTGTTTATGCACACTTTTAATTTTCAGACTATTACAATTTGCATTTTATAAGCAGGTAGAGTCGCAGGGTTAGCTGGCAGCACGTTTCTTTTCCCGTTCTTTACTTGCTGTAAAGAAACTGTCATTTCATCATGTAGTCCAGATTTCCTTGGAACACACATATCTATAACCAGCATCACTGGAGTCTAGATCAGATGGAGCAGCTTCGGTATGAATTAGTTTGCCTGACAATATTTCTGACAGCATATACTAGTGACAAAGCAGGCACAGTGCTTTTGAAAAGTTTGTTTTGCAACTTCTGCATGCCTTCCGCCTGAATAAAACAATAGCAGAACCTTAATCCTTCATTTTTTAAGTGCTTATATCATGGTATTGCAGTACAGCAAACCATATAGGGAACATTTGCATAGCTTTTTTCCCTTTAATATACCTCTGCTATTGTTCACATTTGTGGTCCATATTTGCTATTCTTAGCATTTTTTCTAAGTGCTATAATAGCAAATTTATTTACATCATACAGTGAAGGAAATAACTATTTGATCCCCTGCTGATTTTGAATGTTTGCCCACTCACAAAGAAATGATCAGTCTAAAAATTGAATGGTAGGTGTATTTTAACACTGAGAGGCAGAATAGCAACAAAAAATTCAAAAAGAAATGCACCAATTTGTTCATGAGGGAAATAAGTATTTGATCCTCTTCACAAAAAACATGACTTAGTACTTGGTGGCAAATCCCTTGTTGACAATCACAGAGGTCAGACATTTCCTGTAATTGGCCACCAGATTTGCACACATCTCAGGAGGGATTTTGGCCCACTCCACTTGGCAGATCCTCTCCAAGTCATTAAGGTTTGGTGGCTGACGTTTGGAAACTTGAACTTTCAGCTCCCTCCACAGATTTTCAAATCGGATTAAGGTCTGGAGACTGGCTAGGCCACTCCAGGACCTTAATGTGCTTCTTCTTGAGCCACTCCTGTGTTGCCTTGGCCGTGTGTTTTGGGTCATTGTCATGCTTGAACACCCATCCACGACTATCGGTAGCGCACTGGGTAATCTTTATTGACATTCTGGATTTGCTGACTTAATTCTGGGCTGGTGAATGTGGTGTTTCTTTATGTCAATGGGCTGCAAGAGCCGTGGGTAGGTTCCTGTAGCCACTCCTCCCGGGCTCTTATATATCCTTTATTTTTACTTTTCTAAATTAGTATAATTGATAATTCCCAAATATCATTTCTTTTTATTTATTTTTTGTATATTTCAGGTGGGGACTTCAGTATTTTCTTTTATTTACATCTTGTGAATCCCCAAATGCCTTTTCCCTTTTATACAATGTGGATTAACATTTCTGGTTGCCTAGTTCTGATGCATTCAGAAGTCTTCTTTGTTTCTTCAGTATAAGCCCCTGAGGTATCTATGTGATTTTGTTTTTTCATGCATTCCACCATAGCATGTTTTCTTCTCCTTTTCTTTTTCTCTTTTTGTCTTCTATTTATGGCATGTGTGTGTTTTCTGCCTAGTGGAACAATCATCTGTGTCCTTTGTGCCCCTACATCCAGAAGTCATGTGGGGTTGAATCCTAACCCCCTGGGAAGCATCACAATTTTTAAAAATGTTGGTTCTGTAAGTGATCCTATGATTATCAGCCTGACAACTTTGGATATCCTATGGTTGTGATATAGACTACATTTCCGACAGTACTGGGACACCTGCCATTACACACAGATGAACTTTAATGGCATCCCAGTCTTAGTCCATAGAGTTCAGTATTGAGTTGGCCCACCCTTTGCAGCTATAACAGCTTCCATAAAAGCTATAAAAGGCTGTGCACAAGGTTTAGGAGTCTGCCTATGGGAATGTTTGACCATTCTTCCAGAAGTGCATGTGTGAGGTCAGGCACGGATCTCAGACGAAAAGGCCTAGCTTGCAGTCTCCGCTCTAATTCATCCCAAAGGTGTTCTATTGGGTTGAGGTCAGGACTCTATGCAGGCCAGTCATGTTCCGGTACCCAAAACTCACTCATCTATGTCTTTATGGACCTTGCTTTGTGCACTGCTGCGCAGTCATGTTGGAAAAGGAAGGGGTCATCCCCAAACTGTTCCCACAAAGTTGGGAGCATGAAAGTGCCCAAAATGTCTTGGTATGCTGACGCCTTAAGAGTTCCCGTTCTACTAGAACTAAGGGACCAAGCCCAACCCCTGAAAAACAAACCCACATCATAATCCCCCATTTTTTCACAAATGTTTGTAGAAGCAGTCTGTATGCCTAGGTGCTTGATTTTATACACCTGTGCCCATGGAGGTGATTGGAACACCTGAATCCAATGATTTGGAGGGGTGTCCCAATACATTTAGCAATATAGTGTATATGCTTATGTTCCAGATATAACCACCTCAACATTACTTCCTGATGAAGATTCGTATCAAGAATTGAAACGTGTTGGGATTGTTATATGTATTATTATTTTCTTATGCTTTATGTCTTGTCTTTGCACCAAGATTTTTTTATGGTGTAATTATATGTACAGTGTTTTAACCATTTTGTAATAAACTAAGTTTTAAACTGGTCTTAACATTTCTCTGGTGCCGTTAAAGTCCCTCATCATTTTGCTCTGGTTTTCATCAATTTTGGGATGTGGCATCTGGCTTAACCAGATGGGCTCTTATTTGTTGGGAAAAAATTATTTGCCATTGTTCAAATTGCAAAGGACCAGAAAAAATTACTAAATTATTCTAAAATCACACAGGTCACAAAGTTGAACAGATTTAATTTTTGTTGATAGACTGATGGTAATTTCAGTTAAGAATATTTGTTAACTGTTCTTGAATGTACAAATGATACTAGTTGAATCCTCCTAAAAATGCCCCCAGTCTGTGGTCAACTCAAGAATGTGCAGTAAAGTCTGCTAAAAATCCTTCCCATGTAGAAAACAGTCTAAATGGCATGGATTTATTTTTTAGCTCTATGAAACTGAAGCTTCATTTCAGTTGAGAAATCTTTGTGTTTAGATGCAGTGGCAGAGAGATTTATCCTAATGTGTTTAAAACGCATTGTGTTGATAGGTATCTAGAGAATCTTACAGTTGAACACTTCTTTAAAATCCAGGGATAAAAATACAGCAAGACCTTGAAATAGGAATTTGAATCTGAACACTGCTGAAAAGAAAAAGAAAAGTATAAAATGTCAGTCAATTTTATTCTATTCCATTCTAACATTCCAACTGGGATTATGACAACAAGATGGACGTGAAATATTTATATAAGGAGAAGTTATTTCCACTTCAAGGTGCAAGACACTGAAAGGGCTTGAAATAATGATAAGGATGTTCTAAATCTATGAGCAGCATGCTAAAACATAATCCCAAAAGGAGGGAGGCCCAGGCTTCCAACTGCCTGAAAAACAATATCTGAAGGATATCAATCACCTAAAACTGCAGAAAGTTGTTTGGTATATATTGTATAAATATATAAAAAGGTGAACTAACACGCCAAGGAACTGAGCTGCCTTTTGAGGATTTCAGAAAAAAAATGTGTTTCAAATGAATTTTAAA